GGAGTATTGTCGTCGCAAAGGGCGGTGCACGGCCAAAAATGATGAAAGTCAGAGCAATGTAATGATTTACGACGTGAATTTGCCAGGCGTAAATTGGAGGATGCCAATAATTCGGCTGAAAGTGGTTACAGTGATTCGGGTGGCCCAGCTTCGGATGAGGAAGTTGTGGTGGTAGTGGGACAAGATGTTGTTGATGGTGTTGCTGGAGATGCGGATATTGAAGTTGATGATTTAGAGCAGGAGGGTGCTTTGGCAGCCAGTACAGCTGCTGGTGGTTGCGTTAATTATAGACGCAAACGTTTGAGGGAAATGTTTGAACATACTCGTAAAATCAAACGTATGCAAAGTACTTCGCCTGGCAGGGCTGGTAATCCGATGCAACCTGAAATTGTAGTATTGCGTTGGAATAGTGCTCCTCCCACCTGCGGTTGGAGGGATAGTGGTGGCTTAGAGGAAGATGAAGACGACGAAGTAGAAGGTATAGCTTCTTCCTCTAACACTTCCTCGGAGAGGGGAGCTATACCAAAGGCACCCAATAGGCCTTCTAGACGTCCTAAACGCCGCAGCGCTGAACGCTTAGATACTGATGATAAACCTATAGCTGAAGCTGAGCCTGCTGATGACAGAGCCTGCAGAATTCAAAAGCTTGAACAACAATGTAAAACCTTGATAAAACAGGTATTGGAAACATCCGATAATCGTGAGCGTTTGGAAGTGCAACTTAAACGTTTTCAAGATGAAATATCTCCAGTGCAACATGCCGTTCCTTTGGAAGAACTTATAAATAAGAAACGTTTCGAACGTATGACTCGTGCTAGTTCAGTGCCAATTACCGGTTCAGGCTCTCTAACTCCGCGGGAAGAGGAATATACGCGCAAACGTTCGGAACGTTTGGAAAGATTAGAAGAAGAGAGTCGCCAATTAATGTCACGCATTAAACGCACCTCTGATAGAGGTCATTATTTGCGTTGCTCCTTGGATCGTATAAGAAGAGCTCCTCTCAGTCGTGAGGGCAGCTTAGAAAGTAATACTGAAGACGATGTCCGCAAGCCCGGAGAAGAGGAAGAACCAATTTCTAGCACTGAATCCAACTCCCAAGATAACTCACAATCGGAAAATCTAAATAATAAACCAAGTCCTTTAACAGCCGAAGAAGAAGCCTATACACAACGTCGTGCGGCCCGTTTGCAAAGACTTGAAGAAGAAAGCAAGCAATTGTTAACCAAGCTCTCCAAAAATAATCAAAGAGGTGATAATATCGGAACTAAACTTGATACTCTACATGAACGTTATAAATCTCAAGAAGAACCCACCAGTTCCAGTAGTTCTCAACAAACTCCAGCTATAGCAACAACTTCCTCACAATCAACGAACACTACTTCAACTCCCGGCAAAATGTCGGTGGAACAAAGAATTGAAAATATAGAGAAAATCTCCTCTAATCGTGAAGAACGTTTGCGCATTTTAGAAGAAGAGGGACGCCTGCTAATCAACAGGCTATCGGAAACCTCCGAAAAGGGTACCAAAATGATCAATAGAATTGCTGAAAGAGAACTCAACCGCCAGAAGCGTGCCTCCTCTACCCCCAATAGGGACAGTTCCTTAGATAATGATAGCTCTACCTCAGCTAAAGTTGTAAATGAAAATTCTACCTCTGACGAAACGCCTGTAGCGGCAGCGCTTTTACCCACACCAAAAAATGTGGCTTGCTCTAGTATTGTATCCGAGGAGCTCAATGAAAGGGTAACCATAACCACTATACCAAGTCAAATAGCCGCCCATCAGGGTGCCATTCCCAAATCTAAACCCACTTTACAGTTACTGGCCGCACGTCCCAAATCCGCTAGATTACAGAAATCGGAAAATAAGACCAATGATAATGCAAATGAATCTTTGGAAGATATGGTAAGACGTTTGCAATCATTGCCCTTCCCAGGTCAGGAACAAACAACTAAACCGGAAATAACTGAGGAAAAAGCGAAAGAATTTGAAAATGATTTAGAAGCCTCTAGCATGAAAGAAGATATTGCTAGATATGAAGAGCATAAAATGCCTGAAAATAATGAAAATCTTTCCGATTCCAAAGAGTGTCCCACAAATGCTAGTGAGCAATTAAAAACTCTCGAGACCTCTGTAGTAACAGAAGAAGTTGCTGTTGTTACTCAAACTCCAGAAGAACTTAACTCTCCAAATAATTGTTCTGAACAAGATTAATTTTACTACGATAAGACTTTATTCTTCGTGTTCAATTATTTTTAAACTTATTTATTAACATCATGATTTGCTGATTGTTCATTCGATTTCCTCTAGGCGCGGCATCGTTTGAATAATTCTCTATAAAACGTTCAGTTAATATTACAATTTAATTTAATGATATATTTTCAGATTTATTTACATATATATTTAGATTTTTAAATGATTTACGATAAATAATTGTAACTCGTAAGAAATAAAGGTTTCTTTCGTTTTGCTACTTAAATTTTTGAATGTGTTTTTTTGGTACTATATAATTTCAAAAAACCCTTAATACTGAATTATATCTTTTAATTTTGTTCGTTATAACTTAAATTCAGTTCTAGTTCAGTTCTAGTTCAGTTCTAGTTCAGTTCTAGTTCAGTTCTAGTTCAGTTCTAGTTCAGTTCTAGTTCAGTTCTAGTTCAGTTCTAGTTCAGTTCTAGTTCAGTTCTAGTTCAGTTCTAGTTCAGTTCTAGTTCAGTTCTAGTTCAGTTCTAGTTCAGTTCTAGTTCAGTTCTAGTTCAGTTCTAGTTCAGTTCTAGTTCAGTTCTAGTTCAGTTCTAGTTCAGTTCTAGTTCAGTTCTAGTTCAGTTCTAGTTCAGTTGTAGTTCAGTTCTAGTTCAGTTCTAGTTCAGTTCTAGTTCAGTTCTAGTTCAGTTCTAGTTCAGTTCTAGTTCAGTTCTAGTTCAGTTCTAGTTCAGTTCTAGTTCAGTTCTAGTTCAGTTCTAGTTCAGTTCTAGTTCAGTTCTAGTTCAGTTCTAGTTCAGTTCTAGTTCAGTTCTAGTTCAGTTCTAGTTCAGTTGTAGTTCAGTTCTAGTTCAGTTCTAGTTCTAGTTCAGTTCTAGTTCAGTTCTAGTTCAGTTCTAGTTCAGTTCTAGTTCAGTTCTAGTTCAGTTCTAGTTCAGTTCTAGTTCAGTTCTAGTTCAGTTCTAGTTCAGTTCTAGTTCAGTTCTAGTTCAGTTCTAGTTCAGTTCTAGTTCAGTTCCAGTTCTTAGTTCATTTCTAGTTCAGTTCTAGTTCAGTTCTAGTTCAGTTCTAGTTCAGTTGTAGTAAAGTTCTAGTTCAGTTTTAGTTCAGTTCTAGTTCAGTCCTACTTCAGTTCTTGTTCAGATCTAGTTCAGTTGTAGTTCAGTTGTAGTTCAGTATCTCTTTATTTCTTATTAACTCATTAAATTCCAACACATTAAATACAACAATTTTAACGAGACAACATAATTTATACGGTAACGTTGTTTGTCCATTATTTGTTATCTTAAATATTTTAATTACCCTAAAGAAAGAAACAACCAGTGGTTTACATACAAATTTTTACAAACGTAAATTTACGCTGCTGATAGCAAACCACAGCCTCCTACTTTTATTTATACCTCATAGAAATATTAACTCCTTTTTTGTTTGTGTTTTTACACAATTCACCAAATTAAGCTTTGTATTGTTGCAATTATAATAGTTTGAGGGAAATAATTATAATAATCATAATGACAATACACAAGCAAAAAATCTTGAAAATTGATAAGAATGGTGTTTCTTTTTGATACCCTACACTTATGTATTAGAGGGATGGTATTACTGGTTGTTTTGATGATTGTAACAGCCATGTTAAAAGTTAAAATTTATTGATTTAACACAAAGTGCTCATAGTAGGGCAGTGTAAATCATTGGCGTAGGCGAGTCCAAGATTGGATATGCTTGATTTGGTTTTAATGTGCGTGTGTTAAAACCACATTCACATTCAAAAAACGCCATAAGATAAACACCGACTCATCTACCAACAGTCAGACAGATATAATGACAATCAGAATGAGTTGAGTTGCTAATAGAAATTTTAAGGAACCAAAACCAACAGTTTAAGGAAAATATATTTGTGTATATTTTTGTGTTGTATTAGGGGTAAGTGTTTCCTGTGGAGTATAGGTGTTTGTGTGTGTATGAGAGGGAGCAAAAGTTTATTGTTGTTGGCTAAGTGTATGTGAGTGTGAGCACAAGTAACTTAATTTAGTATTCAACATTTAGCTTAACAAAAATAATAACTTTTATACTCATGCGACAAATGAGCTTGTTAGTCTTTTCTTGTTGCTGTCACCAGACCACAAGGGAGGAGAGAGTAATGGGACCAAACTAAATAATAAATCAAAAACAGATTTTAAAAAATTTTTGGAATTTCTGGACTTTTAAGTTTTTAAGCAGTAAGTTGACATTAATTACGTCGAGAGCAACAGTGACCTCGATCTCTGCCTTTATTTTGTACAAACGAGAAAATTACAGTTTGAAAATTCCTCGTCATTGTTCTGATGACATTTGTTAGTTCAAAATATAAAAAAGCCTTAAAAGAAATTTATTCTCTCTTACCAAAACTATGTTGATCCTAAATCTCTCTTGCTTCAATCTTAAGCTTGGTCTCGTTAAGGCTTTGTCGAAGAAACAACCATAACTTCTTTTAGAATTTATAGTAAAATGTTGTTGTTGACATAAATGTCAGGACTATGTTGTTGTTCGTATACGTCTGTAAGTAAGAGAATGTGTGTTATTTACCCCAACACACACTTACAACACCTCCCTGTAAATATGCAATTGTTTTCCTTCATTTTTACTTTACACTCTCACAATATCCCATACATAGTAGACAATGGAAAAGTGTGTAATAAGAAATTTGTACGTTGTTGTTTTGCTGTATTATCATGTTAATCTTAAATGCTGTTTTGTTGTTACCATTGTCATTTTTTGTTGTTCTTGTTTGGTTGTATCAGTTTAATTCTTTTGTCATTTTATTTTCTTTTTTCTTTTTGTTCTTATTAGTATAGTGTTTGTATATTGTATGTAGTTGTTACTTTAAGCCACCTTGTTGTAGCCTTGTTTGTTTGCATGTTGGAATTAAGTGCTGGAAAGCTACACTTGTGTTCAATACACTAAGTACACTACTGATCAGAGATTATCGAAGGAAAATCTTTCTATAGTCTAATTTTAAAGTCCACAGTCTAGTCTATAGTCTAGTCTATAGTCTAGCTCTAGTCTAGTATAGTCTAGTCTATAGTCTAGTCTATAGTCTAGTCTATAGTCTAGTCTATAGTCTAGTCTATAGTCTAGTCTATAGTCTAGTCTATAGTCTAGTCTATATTCTAGTCTATATTCTAGTCTATAGTCTAGTCTATAGTCTAGTCTATAGTCTAGTCTATAGTCTAGTCTATAGTCTAGTCTATAGTCTAGTCTATAGTCTAGTCTATAGTCTAGTCTATAGTCTAGTCTATAGTCTAGTCTATAGTCTAGTCTATAGTCTAGTCTATAGTTTAGTCTATAGTCTAGTCTATAGTCTAGTCTATAGTCTAGTCTATAGTCTAGTCTATAGTCTAGTCTATAGTCTAGTCTATAGTCTAGTCTATAGTCTAGTCTATAGTCTAGTCTATAGTCTAGTCTATAGTCTAGTCTATAGTCTAGTCTATAGTCTAGTCTATAGTCTAGTCTATAGTCTAGTCTATAGTCTAGTCTATAGTCTAGTCTATAGTCTAGTCTATAGTCTAGTCTATAGTCTAGTCTATAGTCTAGTCTATAGTCTAGTCTATAGTCTAGTCTATAGTCTAGTCTATAGTCTAGTCTATAGTCTAGTCTATAGTCTAGTCTATCTAGTCTATAGTCTAGTCTATAGTCTAGTCATAGTCTAGTCTATAGTCTAGTCTATAGTCTAGTCTATAGTCTAGTCTATAGTCTAGTCTATAGTCTAGTCTATAGTCTAGTCTATAGTCTAGTCTATAGTCTAGTCTATAGTCTAGTCTATAGTCTAGTCTATAGTCTAGTCTATAGTCTAGTCTATAGTCTAGTCTATAGTCTAGTCTATAGTCTAGTCTATAGTCTAGTCTATAGTCTAGTCTATAGTCTAGTCTATAGTCTAGTCTATAGTCTAGTCTATAGTCTAGTCTATAGTCTAGTCTATAGTCTAGTCTATAGTCTAGTCTATAGTCTAGTCTATAGTCTAGTCTATAGTCTAGTCTATAGTCTAGTCTATAGTCTAGTCTATAGTCTAGTCTAGTCTAGTCTATAGTCTAGTCTATAGTCTAGTCTATAGTCTAGTCTATAGTCTAGTCTATAGTCTAGTCTATAGTCTAGTCTATAGTCTAGTCTATAGTCTAGTCTATAGTCTAGTCTTTTAGTCTAGTCTATAGTCTAGTCTAAGTCTAGTCTATAGTCTAGTCTATAGTCTAGTCTATAGTCTAGTCTATAGTCTAGTTCTATAGTCTAGTCTATAGTCGTCTATAGTCTAGTCTATAGTCTAGTCTATAGTCTAGTCTATAGTCTAGTCTATAGTCTATAGTCTAGTCTAGTCTATAGTCTAGTCTATAGTCTAGTCTATAGTCTAGTCTATAGTCTAGTCTATAGTCTAGTCTATAGTTCAGTCTATAGTCTAGGTCTATAGTCTAGTCTATAGTCTAGTCTATAGTCTAGTCTATAGTCTAGTCTATAGTCTTAGTCTAGCTATAGTCTAGTCTATAGTCTAGTCTATAGTCTAGTCTATAGTCTAGTCTATAGTCTAGTCTATAGTCTAGTCTATAGTCTAGTCTATAGTCTAGTCTATAGTCTAGTCTATAGTCTAGTCTATAGTCTAGTCTATAGTCTAGTCTATAGTCTAGTCATACTAGTCTATAGTCTAGTCTATAGTCAAGTCTATAGTCACTATAGTCAAGTCTATAGTCAAGTCTATAGTCAAGTCTATAGTCAAGTCTATAGTCTAGTCTATAGTCTAGTCTATAGTCTAGTCTATAGTCTAGTCTATAGTCTAGTCTATAGTCTAGTCTATAGTCTAGTCTATAGTCTAGTCTATAGTCTAGTCTATAGTCTAGTCTATAGTCTAGTCTATAGTCTAGTCTATAGTCTAGTCTATAGTCTAGTCTATAGTCTAGTCTATAGTCTAGTCTATAGTCTAGTCTATAGTCTAGTCTATAGTCTAGTCTATAGTCTAGTCTATAGTCTAGTCTATAGTCTAGTCTATAGTCTAGTCTATAGTCTAGTCTATAGTCTAGTCTATAGTCTAGTCTATAGTCTAGTCTATAGTCTAGTCTATAGTCTAGTCTTCAGTAGATT